TTTAAAGAAAACTGTGAACAACAGGTTAAAAGGCTTGGTTTCTGATATTTCTGTAGAAAACTGAACAGCTGTAAATGGTGATAAGACTGACTCCTTAGTTACGTTAAACTACTTAATATCTTTAAGATACTGAGAAAATTGTCAGACCTGTTGAGCCTCTGCCTAATGTATTTAACCATATTGAATTCTAATTCAGTATTTCCCATTGGAGTGCATCTTTGAAGTTCCTTCGCTCAAGAATGCTGACTTTCAGGTCAAGACCAGAGTATCCAAAAATACTGAAATGTTCTCCAACCAGTTTTTTAATATCATTTTTATATCAAATTGTTGTCCATTCATTCGTTTGTATAGAGTTTGAATAATTTGTCCTGTGTAGATAGCAGAAAGGCATTGTTGTCAGCTCGTATGGTATTTGGATTTTGTAATATTTGGGAATCCTGATTTTTTGGGGGTCAATTATACCTTATGGGGACCATTTAAGTCAATGGCAAATCTATCCTGGGGTATATTCAGTGGTCGGGGGGGGGGTTGAGGTAGAGACACCAAGTTTGAGGTAGAGACACCAAGGGAGTGGTGGCGCAGGCAGTAAGAACACCTGCAAAGTAACATCAATGAACAGCCATTACGGCTGTTCGAAACCCACCGCAGTCGGGGTGAGCTCCCGGCCCACATCCCAGCTCCCGTCCACCCAGCGGTTTGAAAGCATCATAAATGCAAGTAGATAAAGTGGGTACCTGCCCTAGGTGGCAGGGGGCACCCCTCCTCCTTGTGAGGTAAAGGGTTCGGCGGCGGCAACGATGGCGGCGGAGCAGTTCCTGGTGACCCGGTGAAGCAACATCGGAGGCGGAGCCCGGAGAAAGTGGAGCCTTGGAGAGCGTGGTGACGTGCGACGCAGCGCGGCGGTGCCACCTGTGGACTGTAGCCGGAACTGCAGCCAACACAGAGCCACGCGCCAAGACGAGACCTGCCGGAAGAAGCTGCTCGGGGAAGATTGACTCAAGAAAGAGAGCACCAGGACGCCAATATCTGAAGCCGCGGAAGGAAGCCGGATGACAACTAGCCCGGGGTGCTGGTAGGCAGTCACCACCCTGCAGACAATGTGGCCCTAGTCAGGTTAATTGGTTGGTTAGAACCACTATGTAAACCGCCCAGAGACCCTTCGGGGTCAGGGCGGTATATAAGCCAAAGGTATAAATAAATAAATAAATAATAAATAAATTTGTAGTGTAGCTGCTGGAGCTTCTCCTCAAAAGAACCCCCAAGTTTCAAAAAGATTGGACCAAGAGATCCACTTCTATGGGCACGCATCAGTTTTGCTCCCCCTCGCTTCAAAGTGGGGGTAAGCGAAATGAACAGGTTAAATGGCTGCCAGCCATTTAACCCTTCCTGGGTGATCCCCCCTTCCAAGATAAATCCACTACAGTGTATCATCCATGATCTAAGGATCATTTTGGACTACGGTGATTCTTTTATCACAGGTCTTTATTTATTTACAAGACAACATGGCCACGTAATACAGATGAGTACACGGAACAAACCTTGCAGGAAGCTGAAATGTCAACTCTGTCCCTGTATCTAGTCAGGAAACATATTACACAATCTAAATGTCAGTCATACCTTTAGGGACTCATTCATCTTATCATCATCCAACACAGTATGTACTATCAACTGTCAACAATGCCCTTCTGTAGCTTAAATAGGACAAATAGGTCAGTCAATACACAAAAAATAATAAGTGGACACAAATTTGACTGCATCAGCATTCAAAGAACAATGGGGAAACATTTCAGAAGACTGCAAAAGACTGTTGTCTTCTGCAGTCCCTTTAAACTTTAAAGGGCCTGCAGAAAACAGCCTGAAACAGCTGAACAATGGGGAACAGAAAGCAGGGGTTTAAATTGACTTTGAGTCCCTTTAAAAAACTGCTTTCTGCTTCATCCATGAACCACTCTAAAAGTTTGTGGAAGTCCGTGACAGTGAACCTGTCATGAACATCTGTTCGCAAAACCACAAATAGGGCAAAATTCATCACAAATTTTGCTTCATGGTTCGGTTCTTGCCCATCCCTATTCATCATACGATGGTATTAAACCAAAGCTGAAAAGGTCAGATAAACTGCTTATTACAACTAAGAAGTCAGTGTTGTCACCAGTTACAACTGGGCTACCCGTGTACTTTGGGCTTACCCGTGTACTTTGAGTTTTGGACAGAAATGTCACGAAGTGATTAAGTCTTTTTAGTTTATTCTCTCTATGTATTTATTTAAAACATTTATTAGCCACCTTTCTATCTTGTGGAATTCAAGGCAGCTTATAATGTAAATAAGACAATGATGATCAAAATACATAAAAGAATACAATTTAAAGCCTCAGTCAGGACTGCCAATAAATAAAAACTAGGACTGCCAATAAATAAAAACTAAATTAAGTCAAATGCAGTCCTAAATAAAACTGCCTTCAACTGCCTCCAGAAGATCAAAAATGAGGGGGCCCAACATACCTCCTTGGGGCAACTGTTCTATGAAATCTTGCCAAAAGAAGAATTCGCTTCATTTATCTGATGAAGTGGGCTCAAGCCTGCAGAAGCTTATTGTGTTAGTCTCTACCATTGGATATGATTAATCTCTACCATGCCACAGGAGTCTCCAATGTCTGAAGACATCCAGTATGAGTGCTCAATAAACATAACTAGTGGCTACCAGGAGGGGATCTTGTGAACCTTAATGACAGCCTTATAGCACTGCTGTCAGAACTAGGTCTGTGGCTTCAGCGATGGCGGAGGCTCTCTCCTGAACAGGGGAGGCATTCCGCGCTCCAGGGGTGTTGGAGGGGTGCCGCCTCAAGTGGCACCCCCAGGTGAGCCTCAGAGTGGAGGCTCCAAGCTGGGGGCGCTTGGGGGGGCGACCTCTTCGATGGCTTGAAGCCGGAGAATTGAGGTGCTCCTTTTTGCCCCAATCGGTCCACCCCCTGAGAGGCTCGGTTTTTACCGAGCATAGCTGATGCCGATCGGAACAAGCAAGAGGGTCAGCGAATGAAGCGTGAATAAAAGGTGTCTGAGATCAGACCGTCAATGAACTGGAGAATGAGACGAGCGAAGAAGTTTTAAAAGTGAGTTCCGATCCCCCCC